AGGTCAACCCATGATCGGTACGAGGGCTTCAGTTTCCTCCTGGTGCGCGCCGTTGGCGTGTCGAACATCGCGCTGACAATGATCTTCCATCGCTGCGCCATGGCCTGCACCACCCGGCAACCTCGCCTCGGCGGCCCATTCTGCCCAACAGCACGCCTTCCTCGCAGGTGCGCCCACGCGAGATCAGGCTCGAGGGCGCCTGCGGCACCGCGGCAAGATCGCGCCAGGACGGCACGGGCCCAGCTGCGCTGGGAGCGGCACCGAGCCCGCCTGCGCCAGCAGCCGCCGGCAACGCCAACCTGGCGACACCAGCGCGCGGGGCGTCGCCGGCAGCAGGCGTTGACTCTGGCACTGGCATCGACACTATCTGCTCGCTCGGCGAAGAACTTGCCGCAAGCGACCCCGAGCTACGCGACGCTCCTGTGGAACATCGCGGTGCGCGCCTCATTCTGGGCCTGCGAGCGCGCCAAGGCACGTCGGCGCAACTTCAACAAGCGCGAGCCCCCGCGCCGCGTCTGGGGGGCAATCAAACGAAAGGGCACGTGCAAGGGCAATGGAAAAGTTCACCGCCGCTTCCTTCTTGCACACATGTCCGAAAACGATATCCGGGAGACTCTCGCGGGCCTCGGGAAGGGCAAAGGCAAAGGTGAGGGGGCGTTCAGGACCACGGGTTCGGGCCGCCAACGCAGCCCCGCGGGCCTCGGCGGGGCGCGTCTCGCGTGCCGCGAGCGCGTCTTTGAGGAGCGCCTCGTGCGCGACTGCCCCTGGCGCCGGAATCAAGGGCGCATTCTCTTCCTCCACTCTTACGCCCCAGCGCCGCAGCGCCAGCGGCGGCCTTGCCGCGCGCGCCCCTGCGACAGCAGGGGCCGCCAGGTCCATCCGAGCAGCGGACAGCGCCAGGAGCACGCGCGGCATGAATGGCCAGGGACATTTCCGGAACGCCGCAACCCGCGGTTCGGGGAAAGGGGGAGGGCGACCCCATGCGGGGCGCCGGCCCCTAGAACGGCGGACAGCCGACCTCGGCAGCACAAGCGCTGCGGCCATCTGCAACAACAGCCGCTCCAAGTGCGTCGTCAGACGGCTCTTTGCAGCATGGCGACCACGGCCATCGGTCGCGCTGGGTAGGTGCATCGCCCAGCACTGGCGACGCCGAACGACGAAGACTGCGACGGGAGTACTCATGAGCCGCGCGCGCAACTCTGCACAACCGGCGCGCCCTGCCACTGCGCCGCCGGCCCGCGCGGCAGCAGCGAGGGAGGCAGCGCCGCCCGCAGCGGCCCCGGGAACGGCGGCCGCGCTGGCAGCGCCGATAGCTCCAGCAGCTTCCACAGCACCACTGCAAACGACACCGCAACAGTGGGCCCGAGCGGGCGGCGCGTTCCCACCTGGGGCAAGATCAAGGACGTGACCTGGCAGGCGACCTCAGCGCACATGTCGCCGCGCCCTCGGCGCCAGCGCCCCGCGTGGATCGAGCTCCACGCGCCGCCGCAATCCGCGCCGGCAGTCACGTCGCCGCCAGCGCCGGGGTCTCCCCAGGAGCTGGCTCTGCTCAACGAGAAAAGCCCCATCCATGCGAGCCGGCCCGCTGCGGGAGTGGCCACGCGGTTCGCCGGCGCGGCGGCCGATCCGAGCACCGCTCCGGCACCGCCCTCGACTGCGCGCAGCGACGGCACCTCGACGAGCCCAACATCACGCAGCTATAGCACGTGAGCCCATGCGGCAGAGAGACGAAGAGCAACGTCAGGCCGCGCAGAGTCGGACAGAAACCCATTATAATCAACCTCTTGCGCTGGCCAATTCACTTGCCGAGCCCCCCCCCCGGGGCGTTTTACAGTGGCGACGATAGGGGGCGCCCCATCTGCCCCGGGGCCAACGCGTTCTGGGGAGGGCCGCTTCAGCGTTGCCGCCCATGTGAAGACCCACAGGCCCCCGAGCGTGAAGGACGAGTCGGGCTAGGCCGGCCCAGGACACGGTCGCGCCATTTCACGAGGCAGGCTGACTGTCGAGCACCGCCGAATCGATGCGGCATGCAGACTGAGTGGCGCCCGGCCGTTCAGCGGCGCCGTCTTCGACGACGCGGGCATCGGCCCGGCGCGGGCAGGCCGAGCTTGGGACCGCGTGGCCGCGTGGAGGGCTTCCTGGAGGACATCATTCCAGGCCCGCGTGGCCAGGGCCTTCGGCCGCTGGGAGGGCGCGAGGGGCGCGCTGGTAGCAGGCGCCGGACAAGACGCAGACGGATCGACGGCTTGAGAGCGCCATCGACGTTCCCGAGGGCGCCGCCGGCACCGCCGAGGTCCGCCATCAGCCCCACTACCTATCACTGGAGGGACTACCAGCAACATCCCCGACCACATCCAACACGCGACGCTGGCAGCTCGACGCGAAGTCGAAGGGGCGGAAGACCCGGCCGGGGAGCCCAGATCGAGCTGGAAGCGCTGACAGCCAGCATAATATCTACGCTGCCGTCGAGCACGCCGCGGCCGGTCTCGGCCGCGGGCCCCGCGAGCGGCCCCGGCACTTCGAAGCGTAGCGCCAGCGTCGGGGCATCCACGCGCAGCGCCACCATTGCCCGCGTAGGCCCTCCCTGGACGACAACGCCACGCTGGGTAGGGGAGGTTGAAGGGGGGGGCATGTGGAGTTGCATCTTGCATCTTGGCCCAGGGGTGCGCGAAGCGTTTTTGAGCTCCAACGAGGAAGCGCCCGGCGACTGCGTCGCTAGCGCCCCCCGGACAGCCGCGCTCGACATTTGTGCCGCCGCGGAGACCGTGGCCACTAGGCGTGACGCCGACCTCCCCCGCCACCTGGATAACGTGCAAATATCTCGAGGGGCGACTGCCCAAATCGCCCAAGGGCGCACGAAATGCGTTGGACTCCAGACGCGTCTTCAAGTGGACGGGACCACCTGGCGCGGACCAGTTGGCGCCGCGCGACATGGGCGTCGGAGCCCTAACAGCGAAGCGGGCGTCGCAGCGCCTGCTGTCCTTGGAGGCGGCGCGTCGCCCAGACAAGGCGCCCCTCGTCGTGGACGTCGAGGTGGCGCTCCTGCGCGGCATGCGTGACCTACGCCGAGATGCAGGAACACGGTGAAGCACCCCGCGAAGGTAAACTTCACCCTGCCGCCCGGCAGCGCAGCCATCCTCCGGCAGGCGCCCGGCTACGAGAGCTTCGACGAGAGGACCGAGTGCCCGCGCTGCATCATGCCGAGCACGGGATGCAAGGATGCGCCCCGAGCCTTGTCCATGAAGCTCGACCGGGCCACGCGCTTAGCGGAGAGCAGTATCGAACGAGAGCAGGGACGGCGCGGGCTTGAGGTCAAACGCGAGACGTCTGGTGCCATGGCACCGGCGGCTCGGAGCCAGTTCTCTTGTTGCCCAAACGCGTCGACGATCTGAAGATCGCTGCACGCGCGTCGACCGGCCCACCGGACACATCGAGAACGTCTTCGGCAAAGCAAAGGGCGTTGACGAAGACTTCACCAGCTGCTGAACGCACCAGGAACGCAGTGCCGATGGCGCCGCGACGCTCGACCAGGACGAGTACATCGACGCCCTGATACCGATCAGGCACGTCGATCTGGCCAAGGCCAAGGCTGACGAGCCGGCTGGAAGTCAGCGCTTAGACCTCTTCGTATCCTTCTTTGGAGCAAGGGCCTAAGGCCTAAGCGCTGCCCGCGCAGCACCGCGTCGCCGCGCGCATCGTCGGCCCTAGAAGCATCTCATTCGACGCGAGACGCAGCTCGATTCAGTCGTTCTAGTCACGCTGAAGGTCAAGGCACGCATCACATTCCCAGCAAGCGCGCAAGGCGAATCAGCGCGCACGGCGACGGGCCATTCAAGAGGGCGGAGGACAGGGTGCGGCATCAATCAGAGGGGCCGTATACATGCGTCTCGGCGAGCGCCACCGCGCCGGCAAACAGGCGCGCCACTTGTCGGGCGCAGTGAGCCGATCGCACAAGCTGACGCGCAGATCCCCATTCGGCTCAAAGCTGCTTGCAGCATGCGGCGCAGCCGACGCTCTGCAGGCGCACCTGCTCACGCTGCGCGAGATGGCGCCCGGCCCTGCCGAGGTGATCGGGACGTTGAGAGAGGAGGGAGGTTGCGCAATCCCTGCAGATCTCGTCATCGAGGACATGCGCGTCTTTTGCGCCTGGCACATGGACCCGGCGCGGCCGCCCGCTAAGAACAGCATGGCGGGCCACTTGCGGCAGTTAGCCGACCATCTGCGTACCCAGCAGATCGAGGACCTTCTCTGGCGCAATACTCGAGACTTTCGGGCCGACCTCATGACGAAAGGCAGCATGGGCCGGGAGCTCATGCTAAGCGCTATGCACGGCCAAATCAGCCATGACCAAGGTCAAGTTTTGCGACGAAAAGCGGAAGAAGGCCGTCCCGAGCCCCCAGCACAGTTCCCCCACCCAACGTTGCAGAGGCGACCCTCGTGACTACGTCACAAGGTCGGCCTCCGTATCATTTAGTTTGCGGGCATTGACGGCGAGAGTCACGAGGAATTCGAGCACGCAAGTGAGTGTTGCTCCAGTTGGGTGCGTCAGTTGAGCAAGCGCGCGCCTGCTTGCATTCCTTCAGTAACCTCTCGCATGTATCAGGCACTTTTCATGAAAAGGCCGGTCAGCAGAGCCCTCACTGTCGCAGGCAGTTGTTAGGGGTACGGTCAGTAGAGCACGCCAGCATAATTTCACGCGGTGGTTTCTTGGGCGGCTTGCTCATGGGAGACCATGCGACTGGCTTGAGCACCAGACTCGAACGGTGCCAGATTCCCCATTTCACCCTGTCCTTGCCTGTATTTGCCGCTGCCATTTCAAAGGGCCGATCTTTGCGCGCCCGCCTTATCCTCACCCTACTCTGCCTTTGCAACCTCACACGTATTGCTCCGCCTTCATGAAAAAGCTTCGCCTTTCCACCATCACTTCTTACACCCATGTCACGAGTTCCCCCAAGATGGGCGTTTGCGCGGGGGGAGACGGGGGCAGGAGAGCCCCCCAGCCCGTGCCGCTCGGGTGCCCCGCACAACGTGCCCACCGAGGCGGAGGTGCTCGTGGAGCAGCCGCGGCTCCCAGATAGGGCCGCGGGGGGCGATCGGGCCGGACGAAGCCGAACAGCGACGAAGCGTCCCGACCTGCTTGACGGCGCCGGAGGCGCCCACCAGCGTGTCGCAGGAGAGCCCCCGCTCGATGTCCCTTCTAAAGAAAAACATTGGCATAAGCAGAACTTGTCCGAGGTCCGCGCGGAGTTCTTGGTTCGGCGCCGCGGAGCCCCCTGGCGGCGCCTCCGGCGCTGCCCTTGACGCGTGCCCCGCGCCGGACATGGGATTCCAGCGCCGAGCCCACGAAACCGCGCGGACTTACAAAAGTGTGCGGTGGGGGCCTTGGTTTACGATGGTGCCCAAGGCATCACCCCCTCGGATAGATGGAGGCGGATCTCCTCGGATGGGGGCGGCGGTGATATCCGTGTCCAAGGCACCATCGGAGCCCCACTGGCTTCCAGAGCTTGGATTCCTGATCCTGGTTCCTTTTTCAATGTCCGAAAATGTAGGGTTGTGACGCCCCCTGTTCCTCCAAGAGCGGCCCAGGACCTTACCCAATGGCTCCTTATTCGATGTCCGACTCTGTATGGTTGTGTCGCCCGTTGTTCATCCAGGATGGGCCCGCGATGTCTTCTGCCGCCCCCAGCCCCGCCAGAGCCCTCAGTGGGTCTGTGGGAGCTTGTCGAAAGCGGCTTGGGATGAAGAGCTAGTGTTGGGAGGGAAAAAACAGACGCTAATGATCGTCGATCCCTATGAAAAATGGGAGAGAAAAGCGGGAACGTGGAGGGGAAGACGAACATCCAGGAAGGATGAGCAATGTTGGGGATCCTGGGAGTTGTGTCTATGTATTGACGCGTGCCCCTGGGCCCCTTTCGTATCGCCCTGAAGGTCCGGGGCCGATGCCCCTCGGGACGGCTCCCGCCTCTCACTCCGGCCCCCTCGGGCTCCACCTTGGCGGCGCGCGCAGTGCTCTGGGTGGAGTCGGGCCCGACGAGAGGGCAGGATAGGGAATGGGGGGCTTAGATTCTGGACGCCCGGAATGGGTACGGAAAGAATGGGTACAATGCCCCACAGCAGTTCCTGTTTATTTTGAACCGGATTCGCTGTCCACGCCGCCGCGGCCTGTGTCCATTCGAGGCAGAGGGCCGCCTGCCCAACAGCGGCCGCTGTTGATTTGGGACAACATTTGTTGTTGGGCATTGTATCCATTCTTTCTGTACCCATTTCGGGCGTCCAAAAAGATCAGCCACGCGCAGAAGGGGTGGGGGGGGCGGGCGGGCTTCTCAGAAGCACCCCTGCTTCTCAAAAGGTGCGGGCCTTGTCTATAGATGTAGGGCCGGCGCCTCCTGAGAGGCAGCCTCCTTCTGAGAAGCCCTCCCCCCTCTCTCCCCCCCTTGCGCGCGCCGCCCACGAGAAAACTGCCCTGTGCAGCCGGTCTCCGCCCCGCCGCCGGGCGACTGGCACCAGGAGGCGCCAGGAGAACCAGCTAGAAGCGTTCTCTGCCCTGCCCTCTGCTGTCCTATATACGTACCCGCTTGCCCCCGGCAGAGTCCCCCGGGGGTCCAGGGCCCAGGGCCATGTTTTGTCTCCGGAGGGCTCCCGCCTTTCACTCCGGCCCCCTCGGCGGCGCGCGACGAGGGCGGGCCACAGCTGCTTCTCAGAAGGGATCGGAGCCCTCCGGAAGCTTCTCTCGGCCACGCGCGCAGGGGGGGCAAGTCAGAGGAGGAGCAGGTAACCATGCCACTACCCTTCGCCCGTTTTGCCCCTTTCCTGGCCTTCTGGGAGGCCCTCGTCGCCCCCCCTGGATTCGCCCCGAAGTCCTGGTCAGAACGCACCCCGGGAGAGATCCGGGAGTAATGCGGGATGACGATTAATAAAAAACATTGGAAGAGAACGATTCAAAACATAGTTTTCTGCTATGCCTGCACAATTTTCTGACTGGAGGAGAACGATCAAGAAATAGTTTTCCAGCCCGCGGCCGTTTTTTTCTAATCGTCATCCCAGGCGCCGCCGCGTGAACACGACCCCTGGTCATTTATTAATCGTCATCCTCCGTTAAGGTATCAGAGCTTCCCAGAGGCTTTCTCGGCCACGCGCACAGGGGGTATGGGGGGGAAGGTTTCTTAGAAGCACCCCTCCTTCTCAGAAGGCGCTGGCCTCGTCTGTAGATGTAGGGCCGGCGCCTTCTGAGAAGCAGCCTGCTTCTAAGAAGCCCTCCCCCCTCCCCCTAAATCCCTTCTGCGCGCCGCCAACTTTCTTAGAAAGCGTGAGGGCTTCTCAGAAGCCCGCTGCCTTCTGGAAAGGCCGCCCCCGTTGCCCCCAACCCTCGCCATTTTCCGCCCTTGTTCGGCCTCCGCTAGGCTTCTCCTCGCCACGGTTAGATTCGCGACGAAATCCAGGCCAGGGCGCACCCCCATCGAGGGAGAGAAAGGGCCTGGACTTCTCGGCGCGGCGAGAAGCGACCGGCGACGAGAAAGGGGTCCTGGGGACATTGTCGACAGTCACAGCGCTGAGTCATGATGAGCCATTATCCGATGTTGCCCTCGCATCCCTGCCCCTTTGGACCATCCTTGGCAACTTTCGCCGGCTAGCCCAATTCGAGCAGTGTCGACATGGCCTTGCAAGGCCCTGGCATCCTCATTATCGTACGTCCTGCATATCTATGTGCGTATATATGTATGCAAACATACAGATGCATCTATATATGTTTATATACATATATATCTTCCAGTAATGCGTGTCCCGCCCCCCGCTGGTCGGGCACGCCCGTGCGCCTCGCGAAGGCCTCGGGGATGGGAGCGCTACCCCCCCCTGTGGTCATGGCAATGTGAGCGTGGCGTGGTGGTTGGGGCCAGTGCTCCCCCCTGTGGGTGTGGGGTGGTTCGTCGTCGTCGTCGACGTCGTCGTCGTCGTCGTCGTCTTCGTCGGTCGTCGTCGTGGTCGTCGTCGGTTGGCGTCCTCGTCGGCGTCGGCGTCGGCGTCGGCGTCTGCGTCGTCGTCGGCGTCGCCGTCGTCGTCGTCGTCGTCGCGTCGCCGTCGCCATCGCCGTCGCCATCGCCGTTGGCGTCAGCGTCGGCGTCTGCGTTGTCATCGTCCTCAGCGTTGATTTCGTCGTCGTCGTCGTTGCCCACCCCCCCTCCCATCCCATCTAGGGGGGGGCTTTGGAAACTTGGGGCCCATCCCATCAGAGGGGGGGGCTGCGAACCCTCGATCCAGGATCATATAGGGTCATCTTGATTTCTTCTGAGGCCGTCTTTGCCGTCTTTGGACCGTCTTGGAGGCCATCTTAGACGGAGAAAGGCCAATTGGGCATGGTCCACACGGGTAACTTGCGGGATTCCCCGAGACCCCATGTTGATCTTTCTGGAAGGGCCGAAGAGTGCTAATGTTTGGCACCGTGGTTGGGTTGTGGGTCAAAGGCCTCTCAGATGCCTGTTGCTGTCCTCTGGGATGCTTCTCGGGGGCGTGTATGATTCCTATCTAGGGCCGCTTTGGAGTCTTGGGGCATCTCTGGGGCCTCTATATATCGAGCGCTTCTCGGGGGCCCTTGGGAGCATGTTGGGAAAGCAATATCTTAGGGGAAGGCTCCAAAGGCCCATTCGTTTTCTCTCTTCTAGGGTCCCTCTTGGGGCTCTTTTTGAAGCCTCTTGGGCCATTTTGGGTGGGCCAGTGGGCCGTCTTGGAGCTCTCTTCGGCCGTCTTCGGGGCCCTGTTGACCGTCATCTTGCGATCTTGGGAGCCTCTTGTGCCCTCTTTGGAGTTCTGAAGCCCGATTAGGCGAGAGCGCCCAAATCATTTAAACACACCTGGAGCAACAAGTATGTTGGCTTCTTGGGGTCCTGTTGGGGGGAATCCTGCTGCCATCTCGGGGCGTCCTGGAGGCCTCCAATGCCGTCTGGAGGCCATCTTGGGCCGTCTCGGAGCGCTTGTGAGCCGCTCTGTGGCCTCTTGGACCGTCCTGGGACCCTCCTCGGTGCCTCCTGGCCCGTCTTGGAGCCCCCCCCTTGGCTTCCTGGAAGCTGTCGTGCCGGACGCCCCGGGCGTCGCGCGGCGCGGTGGTGGCTCCGCCCCTCGGCAAACACCGCTCCCCGCCTGCTGCCGATGCTGCTGCGCCTTCGCTCGGGGGCCCCCCCACGCAGCGCGGCGGCCACGCTGCACGGCGAGTCGGCGAGGCTTCGGGGTCGCCGCGCGTTGGGACTCGGGCCGTTCTCCGAGCACGTCTCGGGCGACCGGGGCCCCCGAAGGCCTCCGGGACCGTGCGGCGGACAGGGCGTGCGGGTGAGACTTCCTGGGGCCGCCGAGGCCGCCGCACGGTCTGCCGGCCCCGGAGCGCCCTCGGCGGGGCGCCGCGCCCCGAGGCTCAAAAGGCCAGACCGCCGCGGAGAACGGCCGATACCCCCGCGACAACCTCGGACCTCGAGGGCCCCCCACAAACAAGGGCCAAAAATGCCCACGTTTCGACCTAATCGATTCACTCATGGGACATCGAGCGAATCATATTAAGAAAAAGATAGTATTAATAATATTAAGAAAATGAGAAGAATAGAAAGAGGAAGAGGAAAGTGCGGATAAAGCCGAACTCATGACTAGACGAGAAAAAAAACAGACCATAAGAACGAAAAGAGAATAGTAGCAGCATAGAAGAAAAAATAATAACCACTACAAACCACATCGTGTTGACTATACTCACAACCCTCATCATACTCTCCTCATCCTCACTCACTACCTAAGTCTCAGTTCTATTTCCTCCTCCTGCTCCTTCTCTCTTCCTCCTCATCCTACTCCTCCGCACTCATCTCCTCTCCTCTCCTATCCTCCTCCTCCTCCTCCTCCTCCTCCTCCTCCCCTGCAGGAGGTGAGCCTGGCGGTCAGGCACGCCGCGCAGGCCCGCGTGGCGGCGGCGGCCGCCACAGCGGCCGCCGCGGGCTCGCGAGTGGCGGCACGCGGGGCCGTGGAGGTCGCCGCCTCCGCGAGCGCGGCGGCGGCAGGCGGCGGCGGAGAGTCCCCGTGTGGCCAGGTGCTGCAGCAGCTCGGGCTGGCCACCCTCGTCGGCGCGCTGTGCGTAGGCGGGCTGCTGCTGTGGCATCGCGCGAGGACCGCCAGGAAGCAAAAGGGGCCCTGAGGGAGACGGGTCCCGAGGCTCCTTCGCTGCGTTCGGCCTCTGCGGGGGGCCCTCCCCGGGCCCCAGGACGGTCAGCAGCCGGCTCGGGATGGCGAACTTGTTCTTGGAGAAGGCCACGGGATTTCTTGGACCCGTTTCCCCCAGGACTTGTTTTTTTCGTGATGCCAAGAGGAGCAAGGAGCAAGTCGGGGAGGTGCTGGCCACGGCGGGCGCGTGCCAGCTGGCGGTGGTGTTCTCGGCCTCTGCGGTCTTCCTGCTGGGGCTGCTGGTAGAGCTGCCTCCCCACGTCGTCGTCTTTGCCCTGGGCACCGTCTGGAACGTGGTGACGCACAGCCCTGGCAGGCAGCTCAGCGCCTGAACCTCGGCCAAGCCTCTGATTCCCGACGTTTGTTTTCCCTGGACGGGGCTCGACAGCTACTTCCCCTCGTGAAGGGTGGGACGCCAGGGAAAAAGTGTGGATTGACCCGTCTGCGCAAGTGGCAGGAGACATGTCGAGCCATGCTGCTGATACGTCCGCGAAGCTTCAGAGCCCAGGAGTGCACTCCTGTGCACAGACGCCGCGCCGTGAGCTGTGCAAGCAGGAACGGTTCTAGGCGGCGCTCCCAGCCAGCGCGCGGGTGAAGCTTCATCCGCCCAGATGCAGCCTTCTCGTCATCATCCTCCTTCCCATCTTTACCACTGCGCTGATGGTCCACTACTGTCGCCGGTGGCCTCCTCCAGCCGCGGCGACGCACGCCAGTCCACAGCCGCCCTTTCCCCCCCCCCCCACCCCGTTTGCGCTCGGCAGCGAGCTGCGCAACGAGTGGTTTCAAGCCTACAGTCGGGGCGCTGAAGAAGGAACCCTTTTGGTTGGGGAGGGGCTCCGCGTTCCTTAATTGTTTCGCAGCTTGCCTCAGGCTTCCCTTATGTTTTCGATCGGAAATCGAAGTTTAACGTATGGGAAAAAGGGGCCTCGTTCCTTATTTTGGGTTCCTTAGGTCAACGCCCCGACTGTACTACGGTGAAGGGAGACGGAGTCGGGTCAAGGCACCCTCTGCCACGCACCAGCCAAGAAGGGGACGTCGTGCTGCTCGGCTGCTGCTGCTGCTGCCCCTGCTGCTGCCGCCGCAGCGGCGGGCAGGATTGGTATCCATATCCACCGCGTCTTGGAGTTCCGGGTCCCTTCCACAGAAACCAGAGGCTCAGTGTCGGGGGCGGAAGAGAGGGGGGGGGGATGACTAAGGGGGGGGTGGATATCATGGCGCCGGCCATGATATCTCCGCAGATTTCATGGCGCCTCTTCTTATTCCATTACGTCCCAGGCCCCCCCGCTGGGCCGCGCACATGCCGCCGGTCATGATTTGCACCCCCCCCTCTTGGACACCCCCCTCTTGGCCGCTCCCGACAGTGGATAAGTATGGAGAAAAGATTGGCCCCTGAGGGCTCGGGAGTTCTCGATGTCCACTGCGCCTCGGCCCCCAGGCGCCCCCTTCCCCGAAAGTCCAAGGCGCAGTTGAAGTGGATGTAAGGCGTGCGCGCAGCAATGACCCCGGCCGCCGCTGATGCTGGTGCTCGTCGTCGTCATCGCCCCTCTCATCCTGCGCATTTCCCTGCTACTGCCATGTTGCCATTCTGGCTCAGGCCTTGCCCACAATCACCCGGAGGCTGCGCGGAGCTTGTCGTCGTAGGAGAACAAGTTCTCCATCCTTGCCGCCAGGCCGCCCCACCCGCCATCCTCCGCCTCCTCATTCTCAGGCGCACATTGCTTGCAATTTTGCCTCTCGACTTAGCTGATCTTGAGTCGCTCGCCCTGCTGAGCTGTCTTCTGCCCCGGGGG